CATATGGGACGCGCACCTAGTACTAGTAGTAGTAGTAGTAGTAGTAGTACTACTACTAGTAGTAGTTGTAGTAGTAGTTGTAGTAGTAGTAGTAGTAGTAGCAGTAGCAGTAGCAGTAGCAGTAGCAGCAGCAGCAGCAGCAGCAGCAGCAGCAGTGCCGTAGTAGCAGTAGAGCTACCAATGCTACTGCGGCTGCTGCAGCTGATCCTGCAACAACAACAACAACAACAACAACAGCAACAGTAACAGCAACAGCAACAGCAACAGCAACAGCAACAGCAACAGCAACAACAACAGCAACAACAACAAGAACAACAACAACAACAACAACAACTACTACTACTACTACTCTTACTACTCCTGCTACTGCTACTGCTACTGCTACTGCTACTGCTACTGCTACTGCTACTGCTACGCTGCTACTACTACTACTACTACTACTACTACTGCTACTCATGCTATTACTACTCCTAGTAGGAAACGTCATATATTTGACGCCGCGTTTGTCTTCACTTCACCATCATTTTGCAGTGCGTTTGGCTGCATTTACAGAAAAGTCGCTGAGCGGCCCTTCGTTGATTTGGGAAGCTGGCTTCTTCACATGACCCACATTTTGCAGTGCATCTTGCGCTTTTTCACGCAGCCCGGCATTTTTGCCAATGGCCTGATGTTGTGGAAATTCCTTCTGTTGGCACGCTGGGTTGAAGCAGAAAGCGTTAGCAGGCCCTCAAAACCTCTTACCTGCGTGTCTCTCACATCGTTTTGTGCGTGCTACCACCCTGGCCTTACAGGAGCGCAAAACCACTAACCATGGGAAGCCTTGGAAACCTCCAACAACCCTTCATCTGAAACAAAGACTCGGATGCCCGTGGGGAAAGCCAGGAATTACACAGTCTGTAATGCAACCGCAAAGTGGAGGGCCACGCAGTGCGCTCGGGTTCGAACCAAGCATCGCAAGTGTCTCAAACCCCGAGAGTTTGCAAAGGGGCGTGCAGCCACAGTCGAAAAAAGCAGCCCCGAGCGCATGAGTTCACGAGCCTGGTTGGCCGAGCGGGGTTCAGTCACTCGGGAGAGGCTGAGACCCACCGCATCCCACCAGTCCCATCAAGTCCCGCCGTGTCGCCGGTCCAGCCACCAGTCGTAACCTCTTGAGGGTTTTTGGTTCGTTGTCAAGCCCGGATTCTGGCCTGCATGTAGCAACATGCGAAATACCAATCACACGGCTACAACATGTAGGGATGACAAGTTTAAGCACGAGAACATGTTCACATCCCAGACTTCGGTCATCCACCTTGCAAAGAAGGGTTGTTTGCTGTCAGTATTTTTGCAGGTCACGCAAATGCGGGCGCGAATTGAACTGCGAGTCCGAAGCGAAGCCTGGCAGCCGTGGAAGGACATTTGACTAACATTCATCTTGCGCATGTTGCTTATTTTCGCCTCCTTTCTACCCGCAACGACCAACGTAAATTAAGCTTTTGCTTCCGTTGCCATTGCTGCCAAACGTACCACTATGAACTCTTTTCATTCATCTGTTTATCCCGATTGCCTTGCAGGGGAACGTGTTAGCCGGTATCGATGGATTAGGGTATGCTGTAAGAAGAATGCTGCTTGCTGCGTTCATGGTAAGCCTCATTCTGCTGGGTAAGGGTGTTGGTTTGCAAGTTGCCTCGGCTGAAGTTTTCGGACACCTGGAACTTTTCGTTGTTCTGAACTGATGTTTGTTGGCGCGCTCAACGTGCAGGGGCCTGCAAGTGTGCAGGGGGCTTGCAAGACCAAACGCTACAGGTGAAAGCGAACGAGACACAGTTGAACAATCAGCCTTAATGAGTGCTAGAAATGTGGTTCTTGAACGCAAAGCTTTAAACCCTGAACTCTTGAATCGCAATCAAGTTCTAAGCCTCTTATATCCCCATGCAGCAGTTCCGGAGGAGTTTCTTGCAGGCTTGGACCGTGGCGTGACCCGTTCGGCTCTCAACGCAGAACTCGCGGAGGCTTTTAAACAAAGGGAAAGCATGTTAAGTAAAGTAGGGTTGCCTTTGGGTTTGTTGGCGGGGTTCGGTGTGGGGACTTGCAGGGATTTTGGGTGTTTTCTGGGCAGTCGCAAATTTGCTTTCAGCATAGACTCGACACCTGATTCCGATATAACCACATGTTCATCTTTTGTCCCGCATAATGTCATACTGAGGGCGGCCAAGATGCCCAATTTCTGGGGTTGCCAGATTCATGGCGAATTTCCGAAATTGAAATCGTGGAGCTGGGGTCGCAAATTTTACATAATCCCAAGCAGACATCGCGATCTTACTGCCTCAAAACACATTTGTTTCAATTGGCATTCCCACCTGCAAGGCTGCTCAAGCGGGCAATGTTCCGCGAGTTCTGCAGGTGGAACGGGGACAGGGCTTGCCGGGGGGAGGGGAAGCTTTACAAGCGACACCTGCTCAATCCGGATCTTTTGAGCATGAAGTCTTTGACGATAATTTGGAGAGCCAGCTGGGTTGTGTGTGTTGGGTCCGGCACTGACAAAATCAAGTCTTCAGGGTGTTGGCTACTGGGATGTAAGGGCTTACAGCGTGGAGTTGCATGGTTCATAGGTTCCGGGGTGGGTATCCAAAGTTCAAGGGCTTGGGCTTGTGACGCAGCCCCTGAAAGACGTGCAGTGCTGAGGGGTTGGGCACCTGGTCCGGGATGGATCAACCCAGAAAAGAATTTCCCCAGAAATATTGATGTCTATAACTGTATATATGAACGGCAAGCTGCAAACTGAAACGCCGACTCGAACACCCCAAGGCTTGAAACTAAAAGGCTAAAACCTTGATTACCTACAAGCTTCGCATTTTGCAAGGCTCTCGACCGAGGGGCATTGCTGGATGTTACCAACGAGCAATTCGCCAATCAAGTTGCGAGTGTTTCCGGCTATGGGTTGAGAGCTTAGGCTGGGGGCTTAGGGCCTTAGGGTTCGGGGCGAATGCTACGCGAGTCAAACACACATGTTAAGCACCGAAGACCTAGAAGAGATTCGTAAGAAGAGATTCGTAAGCGGAAGCTGGAGAGGCAGCAGTGGGTGTGCAGGACTTAAGGTTCTGCATTAAAGCTTATGATTTAATGATGAATTCGAGGTATTTCGTTTTGACTCCAATATCAGCTCATTGTTTTGTGGGATGTTTTGGGGCGATGTTTGGGGACAACAGTTGCAGTTTTATGTTGGACGCGGTTCCTGATAATTTGGTGGGATTCATGTAGTCGTCTTTTTCTTATTCTTGTGTTGTTTTTGTATTTTTGATGCTTGGGACATGCACGCTGACAGTCAAATTGGTTGATTTTGCGCCACCACGTCCTGATTTGAGGTTTTCACAGCCAGCCTTGTTGACCCTGGTCTTTCCATAAGTGCTTTTGCTTCTTGCTCCCCGAGTATCTTGAGCATTCGAATGAGTAAGTAGCGCAAATGTGCCACACCAAACATCTGGACTTTGCAAGTCTAACTTGAAATTGTAACATCGAACCCCACATTCCAATTACCTTGTCAGCCGCAACCCAAAATACCAGGGTGCTTTGCCCCGAAAGCCAAGGTATGGTGAGACTCCCACATTCCTAGCTGCAATGGCTGGCGCCACCGAGGTGCCGAAGTTCCCTTGTTGAAGGGTATTGTTCTGCCGTCTTCTTGCAAGGATGTACAGGAATGTAGAGTGACACGATCTTTGTTGTAGGTTTAGCTGCGTGTTTCAGACACATGTTCTTTTCCTGCTGCTAGCGCTGATCCTCGCGCTACGTGTCCTGCCGTTTGAAGACGACTAGTACATAGTGAGCTATGGGCAAAACTCCTCACAGGCGCCCATTAGCCATACTACATCAATGCCCATTCAGACATTGCTCCTAAACAAAAAGCCTTGGCAAGGTGATCAAATTACTTGCAGAACGCAGGGCAGACCTCACGCTGTCGGACAATGCCGGCATCAGCCTCTTGACAGGCAGCCAGCACGTTGTACGAATTGGTGGCTGCGGCCGAGGGTTTGGACCACTTGAATCCATCAGAGATGCAACAGGCGGTTTCCAGAAATGCAAGGAGCAGTCATGTGGATCACGCATAAGTGGTCAAGGCCTTGATCAAGGCACCATCAGATCGTGCAGCCGTACACTAGTCCTCTTCGAAGAGTCTTGATTGGCTAATCCAAGCCTCAAACAGTGAACTCCACACCCGAAATCTCACATGTCCCCCAAAACTTAACTTGAAAGCCCGGCTCCAAAACACTCGATCCCAAACCCTACTTCTTGCAAAGGCCCGTATCGTGCAGCAATGCTCCATGGCTTGAGCGCCACAGCGGCAGCACTGCGAGCTGCAGCGGAAACACAGGAGGGGACAACCACTAATGTGGGCCAAACGCTCCTGGGAACCAGAATGTCAGTTTCAGGGCCGAGGACTCAGACTCTTGTTTCTTCTTGCCCTTCATCGTCACAAAAGGTTTTGGCGAGATCCATGGAAGGGGGATCCAATAGAGATTTAGAATCTTCGATTGAGAGGACCAAAGGGTGATTTTAAAGTAGATGGAATTAAGCATGTGCATCCCCGAGTACAGATAACAATAGGCATAGCCTTCTCTGCAATCTATCATGACTCCGAAATCTATCATGAAAAACAAAGGCAGCGCCACTACGATAAGAAAAAACAATCGATGCCGGTCAAGCAGGCAATTGTTCAAGATTTCCGTTCCAAACAGGATTCTTGGTCGCTTGAAGGGAGCACTGATTCTAGGCAAAGACGAATGTAAGAAACAGAAAGAGACAAGTTGAGACCGGTTTGGAACTTGGTTGCCAACTTTCAGGGTTCTCAAGCTTGCACCCTGTACTCGGCCAATCTGCGAGCAAAGAGTGATTTCTGATTTGTTTAGCCACAGACAATAAGCAAAGTTCACTTACGCAGTTATGCCCCGCCCCTGAGGCTGTATACGGCTAAGCTGACACCCTCAGCCTTGACTCGGCGCATCATAAATATCTTGCAGCAGCCTTACTGGCCTAGGCAGGTATGAGGCAAATTTGACCAGCCCGCCATTAAAAGTCCACCCCAAATCCTTACATAATTATCCTGACATGTCCAAAAATCCTCAAGCTCATCCTTTATTCCTGAAGTCCTCACTCAAACCGCGTGCGAGTTTCTTCAACATTCTAAGGTATGCCTAGGGCCTAGGATCCCTCCTTGTGTTTTTTTGGAATCCTCGATGTGGAGGAGATTGCATCGATGTCGGCCAAGGGCTACGAAACAGCGCCAGTTCCAGTGGCTCCACGTTTGGAGTGTGCACAGGCCTTTCAACAGATAAAAGCTACTTCATTGGTAGGCTTCGGGGTTAGAGTATCGCGGTCTAGGGTTCAAGGTTTTTGGGTTTCGGATAACATGGAAGGTTGCTTAGTCGCCAATCACTTTACAACCTCGGAATCTTTACAATGTACTCGACAATCTTGCTCCTCAAGCTTGTATGACCGCTCACGCCCGTTCAGACATGAAAGAGGCCCGAGCAGCAGTTCTGGAGTTATGTTGATAAGGCAGGTATAAATTGAGAAACGCAATTGTCATGCAATGCGCGGCAGTAAAGGCTCTTGGGGGTCATATCGGCTTTTCTTCGCAAAATGAATGGAAATGCTCTTTGCCATATTTGAAGATTACTAGACATGCGATGGCCTTGCAAGCCTTCTCCATTTATGCTTCATCCTTGCGAATCCTTCAAGAATCCCGCAGTCGCGGCCCCGGCAATTTTGGGCAGCCGCCGTGCCGGGTAGGTGACTAGGGTCATCCCCGTGGGCGTGGATCATGCTGGAGCTGGAACAACGGTGGTGGACCATGCTCCTCTTTATGTGTAGGAGTTAGAGGCTGTAGGATTAGGTTGAGGGTTTGGGGTTGCGGGACAGGATTTCATTCGGACTCGGAAAAGTAGATTCTGTGATTACAGTTGATTGGAAAGGTCAAGGCAATTTGGGTTTCGGGCTGGGGTGGAGAGGTTTCGTGCTTGGGGCATCTGTTTCGTCAGTGTCTTGAGGCTCTGCCTTCCATGTTAAAATTCCGCAGCCCAAAATGCAGCCTCGGAGAAGTTGCATGACCGTGTGTATGTCAAAGGTTTGAGATTTCGGCATCTGAGGCAGTCTCAGAGCAAGTATGGCAGATCAATCTTCATGTTCCTACCTTTAGCCCAAAAGCGATTTTCATTTCCCAAGTCTTGTACTTCATAATCCTATGTCCCGAATTCAGAAGACTGTGCAACTACCGGAAACTCGAGGTTAAGTACGAGGGCGGTTACATTGCATGGGCCCGCTTTCTAGATGGTTTCTGCTGGACAAAATCAGCAGCATCGCAGCTGCAAAGGTGCGGTGGTTGCGGCTTGCTTGTGGATATTGTGGTTGTTATTGTTGTTGCTGTTGATGTTATTGCTGGTGGCGAGATTCCTGAAAAGGCTTGTCTCCTACTACGCCTGCTACTTCCCAACTTTCATCAAGCCCTCGCAGCTAGAACGCACACTTGACTCAGGCTTCTGGCTTGTTGTCACTGGCCCTTATACAAGGGGTCCTGAACTTATTCCCAAATCCATAATGACGAAGGCGGATCTTATCATCAGTGGGTGGTTCACAAGCACGACCCTAATGTTTTCAATGCCTGTACAGCCAGCCGGCAAGGCTTTCGACAACGCTTTTCTGGAAAGACTGGACGAGCTCTGGAAGCGGCTGCCTTTGGCGCCGAAGCTAAGGTCTGAAATTGTTTGCTGGGAGTGGGGATAAAGGGGTCCATATGCTACTGGGGAGAGTGATGTCAAGATAGGGGTACACTTGCCAAATTCAGTACATTAGGCTTTTGAGCTACAGACTGTGATGCCATAAGGACCAGAATCAGGGGTTCATTAATCAGGGGATTGCATACATGTACGCGGTGTGTTGATGATTCCAGGTCCAGGTCGTGTCCGACTTGAATAATAGAACAGTATGTCTCGGGTGATTCAATGGTGTCAGGAGCTTTGGGAGCTCTCCGACAAGAATGCTGGCAATCAAATGGGCTTTGTAACTGTTTCCATTCCAAACCATGAGTCTATCAGCTGCCAGGGCATCGGTATCACAAGGGTTGCAGCTCCAGATCAAGGAGAAATTGAAATAGATGGTTCCCAGGTACGTCCCAGAAATGATGCAACTGTCAGCTCCCAAGTTAAGGATGCATGTGAGCTTTACAAGACGTAGCGAGGATACCCCTGATAACTAGCCACCTGGAAGATTCCTTAACTATCTAGCACTAGGATACTCCCTGGCCTTCAGACCGCTCAAATCTTGCATTCTGGAGTGGTTTCCTGGGGATTCACGCCTGAAGCTTGAAACTCCCAAGCCCAAATGCCAGAGCCGAGGAAACAGAAGGCTTCGCCAACAGATCGAGCCTACTACCATGATGTTGCTGGGTCGTACTTGCAAAGCAAGATGTTGTGCAAATTGCATTTCATGCAGGATCCTTATACAAAGAAGCTACTGAATGGGGCTCCAGGGCTTGGAGGAGTGTGGCCATCTTGATTTTAGGCTGTTTTTCTGCCATAAATGGCGAGGTTCCAAAAAGTTTCTGAAAGGACCTTCAAGTCCCTTAGTGCTATTTGAAGCTCCTCCGAAGTTGTCTTCCCATTCCTGACCTAGCCATGCAGCCCCTTTTAATTTCATAATCTTTTCTCGAGATCAGCCCAGGTTGAGGGGTGGCTGACCGGCACGATGATCCTTGCATGAAGTAAGGTTTTGAAGTCGTGGCTTTGGGGTCAATTTGGGGCTCGTGAGTGGCATTCAAAAGTTCAAAGCTTCAGGATTTGCGATGGAGTTTGAGAGTTGAAGGCTGTCAAGAAGCAACGATTCATCTCAGCTTAGTTATCATAGGAATCAAAAGAGGATTCAGCTTTTTAACGCTTGCATCATTATGCGTGATGAGGGAGACTTGCTAGAGACGGCATCCGTCTTGCAGGCCGCCGGCCTGAGAAGTAGTACAGATAAAGAGACTAGAAAACAGCACATACGCATGAAGCTGTGATTACTTTTCTGGTTCAGGGAGGACCTTCAAGAGAACTGTCGCTGTTTGAGGCTTCACTAGACAACGCAGGGCGTATGCTGAGGCCCCAAGTTAAGCAGCTCCACATGTTTGCGAGGTATTCTGAGTGTGAGCAGACGATGCTGTTTCTGTTGTTGTGTTATTTGGAAGTCAAGGTGGGTTCACCAGAAGGCTCTTTTACTACAAGCTAGAGAGCCTGTACACCGCTCTAGCTTGCTTGCCTGGCTTGATGGGTGGGTGCTTGGTTGGTTTTTTCGGTTGCTTGCCCCTTCCTGTGTTCAGAAGGACGCAGATGTTTTTTCTTCCGGTGGGCCTGCCGCATGTTTTTTCAGACGTCTCCGGCCTTGCCGCGCCGTACTTCTTGTAAGGAAGCCGCCTGTTGGCAGGCTTCAATCAGTTTTGTCACCCAGAATTTCTCTGAGCATTGCAACAAATTATGATAGAGACTTGCTCAAATGATCCCAGGAGAGGGATAGCAAGAAACGCACATTTTGGGCCGGACATGTAGGGAGGATATCCAGCATGCAATAAAACTTAGATGAAGGAACGAGGCGGTACGAGCAGCGCAGCTCACTGATGCCGCTGTGACAATGCCTCACATGCGCTTCTCGACTTTTGATGGTTGAGGTCCAGGGTTTGAGCTACGTGGTTCAGCATCCCAAGACGGACTAACTGTGGATATTAACATCTTGCGTGAGCCCATTAAGTACCTTATACTTTGGGAGCTATTCTATTATGGTATGCTACGATCGTGCATGATCTTAACATCAGCAGACTGACCGGTAAAGTGATGAAGACTCTAGCTAGCAGTCGCCGTGGTTGCGTGCCCTTGCTATAGATTATAAAGCCGCTAGTATTGTCATGTGGCAGCAGGCAAGCATTGAGGGAAACGGCGGGCCAGCAGTGGGACATTGGGCAAGCATCGAGCGACTGCGGGCAAGCAACGAGTTGGCATCTGGGCAAAGGTCGGGATTGCAACAGACATGCTGGGGCAAGAGGCAGCAACAGGGCAGCATCGGCAGTCTGCGAAAAGATGGTTACCACCTTGGGCGCCAGTCCCAAGCTACAAGAACTTCAAGTCTGCAAGCCCGACAAGGCCTTGGAAGCTTCGCCCCTGGAAGCTTCCGATAATTCCATCAGAGTATCCCAATAATAGTGCGCCTTTGCAATCCGAAGCCACCACAATCCCTTTAAGTTTATAGGCGTAGTCTATGCTCCCTGAACTAGAGCCTTACACGCTAGCCCAAATTCAGGCCACCCTCCCTGAAGCTCCACATGCGGAATCATGTTCCCAGAGCTTCTGCTTATTGACCTGGAGGCTTCTTGATCTATCCGGAGCCGGGTGGATCGCTTCCCGCACATGTGGATCTTTCCAGGATGGCCTTCGTCAGTAGAGTCCTTGTTTCGTAGTACAGGGTTTGAGGTTCTAGGATCAACAAGGTTCATATGTGTCTCAAGGATTCAAAAATTGGGATTTTGGGTTAGAGGTTTGGATTAGGTTCAGGGCTTGGGGAGAAAAAGGAAGCAAGGGACGCCGGCTGGTCGTAGTTTTACTCAGAACCAGGAAGAAGAGTCAGTGACCCAATAAATTAAATCCAAAAGCTGAAAACAGCGAGCCCTGCTGGCCTTGTGGGTTGATTAGGATCTGACTGGGGCTTAGGGGCTCAGGGCTCCACCTTTTCCTAAAAGAAGCCAGGACCGATCAGAACCTGCGCTCCACTTACACCTTCCTGCTCTACCTCAGCGACTGGCTGTAGGGTTGTACTGGGAAGTGAAGGGCCAGCGAACTCAGAGTTGAAGTGGCTTCGGGTTATCATAGGTGCAGTCTTGAACATTGCACGGATTGAAAATCATGAAGTTAGCCAAGTGTGCTTGTCCTCAAGGGCACCTGTAGTAGACAAAACAGACTTTACAATCCACAGGTTCGAGGGGCAGTCCTAAACCCTGGGCAGTCGAGCCCTAGCAACGAAGCTAAGGACAGTCCTCAGGCGGGTGTTGATCGTATGGGTAGCGGATGTTCTGCAGCGGTGAAAATTGGGCATTTTTTGGATCCGAGTTTCGTAGCACGTGTTTGAAGTGGGACACACTATAATACGCTGAGACATCGCCCATGTAGATTTCGCACATAAACCAATCAACCTTGGGCAAAGATCACGTGGGCCTTACCTGATGACGGTTTTCCGTCCTGAAGCAAGTCATTTGAAATTGTCCACCCAAGGCCTCATGCTGAAGCCCTGAGCCCTCAAGTCTTTACACCCTGAACCACTAAACTCTGACTCCAAACCCCAGGCCCTGCTACCTACGATCTTTTAGTCAGTGAGAGAGACAGCCCAGGCGACTGCAAGACAGGTGGAGAGACCACCTTCCTGGAGTGCTTGGAAGGGGATGAGAGCCTTACACTGAGCAGATTTGGAAATTGTGCCATGGAGCTCATTTTCCACGACCGTTTAGCGCGTATTGCTCGATGCAGAGGTAGACGGTGTTGGCTATCCTTATAAGGTTGGGTACAGCCCTAAGCTTAGGCATATGAGCAGGGTTCATAGGGTGAGCTTTGCTTCTGTGTGTGAACGGCTGGCAGAAGACCGAGTCAAAGCCAGCTATTGCAGCACCAAGCTACAAAGGGCTAATGGGTTTACTAAGGTCATATCTTCTCAAGAATGGCCCTTAGTACTTAGTCAGCTTTGCCTTCTGCCTGCCACCGGTGGAGCGTTAGCACATCCGGCCAGATTGTTTTGAGCAGATGCTCTTGTGTTAGCTGATCCTCGTGCGGCTGCGGGCGTCCTGCCTCGTCGCTTGGAAGCACAGCACATTTTGCATTTGTTATCCTTCCTACCACAGGCGTCGGCCCGAGCGTAGTTTCTAGGAACCCTTCGTCCTAGTCTGCCTTGGAGCCGACCCTAAGTGCGGCGAATTTTTAGTTTCGCCCACGACCGCAAGCACCGGTGTGGCTGGATATCTTCAGACTCGCTGCAGTTTAATCTGCCGACGCTGAGGTTGTCCATTAAGCCGCATAGCGCTCAGTGACGGCGCATGCTAAGGTGGCCAGTGCTTTGTCTGAGTTGGTGCTTTTATTACAGCAACCACGACTGGTTGGAACTCGAAAGGCTTTCGCAGTTTCGCACGCAGAGAATCCGCACAGCACCGAAGGTTGAGAAGGGGCAGGACGCGAGCAAGGCAACATTTGCTCGGTTCTATCGGGCTTTCTCGATCCACACAGCAAGGCAACGGAGGCAACAATCAGGAAGCTGAGGGGGCATCATTCTGTTTCCTTCCTACCTATCAGGGTACGCAGGTCGCAGGCACTCAGCAGTGTGGACCAACAAAGCTGGTGGTGCAGCTCATGCAAGCGGCAAGTTTCCTACAAGGATACATTTTGCTCAGCCTGTGGCAGGGCTTGGTGGAAGGAAAGCAGCAATGGCAGTCAAAGCAGCTACCGTGGTGGGATGGTCAACGAACCGCTGTGGAAGAGCACGAGTACCGCCAGCTCAGCGTGGACACATGCCAACTGGTCGGAGGGGACTGGTTGGAGGTCGGCTTCCCCGCGAAAGAGGAGGCCAAGATTCCAAGGATCAGGGCCGACAAGGAAGGCAAAACTGTTGGGAAGGGGGAAGGAAAGCCTCGTGCAGCTCCCACCACGCAGCAACTTCCTGCCAGGCCTCACGCACGCCAAGCCAACACCAAGCCAAACCTTTTTTCTCTGATCAGCTGGGCCATTCCAAAACAGCACGCCCCCGATTCTTCCTGACCACGCGCAGCAGACTTGGCCAAACGGACTGCCAATTCATTAGTCGGGTCCCCGGAATGCCCCTTCACGTGGCTGTATGTGGGCAGGGACACAAACATTGAGCTCAGGTGGTGAAGCTCCGTCGCAGCTTTTGCAATGAGCTGATGCGCGTCGGCCTTGGCTATGCCCTGAGCCACTTCAGCAGCCTCGGCATCAAAGCAGATCTCGGATGGCAGCCCCGCAGCACAAAAAAAACGAGAAGGCACCAATCATCGCAGCAACTTCAGAAATATGTGCACTGGTGCTTTCTTGCCCCATCCAGCCTGGTTCCCCCCTTGGCCTCAACCTATCAGCCAGGAAACCAACAAAAAATGTTTGTGTACACTGCCCAAGCACCACAATGGCCCAACCTGACTGACCGTCACTGGCATGGGAAGACCCATCAGTATAGACCCTGATTCTTTCAAGTTTGCACGCCCTATCCCAGCATGAAAGGTTCAAAAGGGCCTCTGTCGTGGCAGGGTGTATATGTCACGTACCCCACTCAAGTCTTGCTTCAGCTGCTCAAGTTGGTTAGGACTCCAAAGCTGCCATCAGAAGGTCAACATCAATTCCAGCACGCAGCACCGTCGCGGGCTGGTCCTCAGCAGCAACCAACTCGCTGAGTTTGATCACTCTCCTCGGGCAAGTCTGCTGACAAAGACTGCCCTCAACGCCAGCCGAAATCTGGTTGCAGCAAGGAGAGAAGGGTTCACAGCTCTCTCCAACACTGCTTGCGCTTGGGAGGGGTAATCTAGGATCTTGGTGCTCGGGGGAACCATGGACCGTCAAATGAATTAGAGACGCTGCGCAGTTCTCGTCTCATGAAATGTGGCACGGGCTCCACCCTGTACTCCGGCAGCGCCAGATGGCACTGTGCCGTTGCATG